TGTTTCCGATGGATAGATACTCAGTCAGTTGCGTAGGACAGTGGAAAAGTTTTTGTAGTATAGAAAAGATGGTGTGTTATAATGTTGTTGGTGACGGCCTGAATGAGGTGAGGTATTTGGTGATAAAGTAGAGGAAAGGAGAGTTTTGCTGTGGTGATGGTGGTGGTGGTGGTGGTGGGCATTAAATAAGAAACTTATTTGATTGTTGGTAATTTTTGGAAATTCGTTTGGTTGGTTGGTTGGTTGGCATTATTTTGAAAATTTTAAGAGTTGTGCTCATTTGATTGATCATTTAATTAATGAATTCGTTATTTGTTTGGCTATTGATAATGTTTTTGGTATTGTTTTGTTTTTTGCGTGAAATCATTTCTTTCTCACCACACAACGAATCTCATCGTTTTCGTTGTTTTTATGAAATTATCGTGGTCATTATTATTATAATTAGCATATGATGTGAGAGATCACTAGCATGTTAAGTTGAATAAGTAAGTAGCGAGTGTTCAGTTAGAATGCTTTTTTATGGATTTATTCGTAGACGACGACGAGCATAGTGTGGTCATTGGCTGATACATGTAAATGGTATTGAGTTGGTGTTTGTTTATTTTGGATTTGGTTCGTTGAATTTGTTGTTTGTCGTTGTATCATCGTTTCTTGATTCAACTTTACTCTGTTTGTATCATGTTGTGTGCTGATTGAGATTTTTAGATTTGCGAGATAATTCGTGCTGCTGCTGATGCTGCAGTAGTTTTGATTTGGTTGCTTTTGTTTAAATTGCCTATTAACATTTGATCGATGATGTCTCGTTTTCTAGAGTATTGAGTGTGCTTTCTGAGAAATATTCTGAGGAGGGGTCGGGTCGGGCGCTTGATTGCTAGTGGATTTGTTGGTTTGTTTGTGAGAGCAGAAGCATGGAAAGATGTTGTTGTGGCACTGGTCGTCATTTTTTGAATCTCTTCTGCATTCTGCATTGATTGATTGATTGATTGATTGATTGATCGCGATGATACATAGGCTGCAGATCAGTACAGTGAGCAGCACATGTGCTTAGAAAAGGAATGAATATAATTTTTTGCTCTTGAATTTATGTATGTGTTTAAATATGAATGCTGCTGCTGATGATGATGATGATGATGATGATGATCAATGTAGCACATAACATATCCATCGTCTATCTATCTATCTATCAACGTATCTGAGTGATAACAAATCTTATCATAAGTTTTATGATCATTATACATTTACTTGTTTTGTATTGTTTTTAGTGTGGTGGTTGTTCGTTGGTGTTTATTGTTTCATTCAATAGAATGTCGTCTGTCTCTCTCGGTGCATCATTTCATTTTGCGATCTTCATTTTCGTTTATGTGTTTGGTATTGAGTTGATTCTGAGCCGTTTGTCGCCGCTATTTTTCATTCCAGAATTTTAAGAGAATAATCACGCTTAGGATCGCATCGCATCGCATCGCATATCGCTTTATTCATCAGCATTTTATTTGAGCGAGAAACATTTGCTTAAAAACATTCTTCGGAAACATTTTTCATAGAATTGTAACGCCTTTTTAATACACGAAATAAGAAGTCATGACTGGTTTGAGTAAATGGTCGATTGCTGGAGTTGAGGTTGAGGTTGACTGGAAAGGAGAACGGAGCTGAGATTCGGTGCAGTGGGCGATCTTGCTTCTCACATTATTATTGTTATTTTATTATTATTATTATTATTATTATTATTATTATTATGACTATTAATGCAATTAATTATTGTTGATGTTGCTTTTAATGTTCGTTTTGTTTTTGAAACCAATTTCATAACTGTACTGGTATTATTTGATTGCTGTTTGCATTATGATTACTGCTTTGTCTTCTATTATTACTATTGTTATGTTATTATTTTTATTATTGCTATGAATTTTATTATTATTATTATTATTATTATTATTATATAATGATAATTAGAATTGATGAATACATTTAAAATGGCTATTGTTATGCGAAAGTGCTTGAGAAGAGTATTACTGAGTGAATGATTTAAACATNGGTATTACTTGATTGCTGTTTGCATTATGATTACTGCTTTGTCTTCTATTATTATTATCATTGTTATGTTATTATTTTTATTATTGCTATGAATTTTATTATTATTATTATTATATAATGATTACTAGAATTGATCAATACATTTAAAATGGCTATTGTTATGCGAAAGTGCTTGAGAAGAGTATTACTGAGTGAATGATTTAAACATTTATGCAAAAAGAATTATTTTGTGGAGTGTTCTATGAAGTGTTATGTCGTCATTGTTTTTATTGCTGATAAAGTTTTGCTATTGTAAGTTATTATTAATAATATTATTTTAGTGTGAAAGGCAAAAAATAGTTTATGGTCAGGTGAATTATTAGATGGGAGAGTGAAGCTTGTTATGGATGGGTGAGGTGAAGAAAGGAGAGTGGTTAAGGAATGGAAATAATGAGCAGTGGATAAACATAGGATCGGATATGATCGGATGGATACGGTGGATGGATTGGAGTGTGGATTAGGATTTGGCTTGGTGACGTGTTATCGAATAATCATCAGTCGCTTAAAGAAGCTTTAGTCGGTACGTATATAAGATGTACATAAGATGTTTAATATATAAGGTGTACGATAAATAGTATAAGATATATGATTTTTAACGTAAGGGTTCGTAAATTTATGCGTGCGTGCATCCATTGGACGGCACGAGATCATGTCATTAGACGCATCGTTTACGTCTTCTCGGTATCGCTCTCGAAATCAAATGATCAAGACTGTGATCAAATGATGATCAAATAAATCAAGACAGAGGAGCAGACTTGTAAAATTACTTGTAAAATTCTTCGCATATACAATTAGACTGTATATGAATTATACTTAACATATACATACATACATATACACTAATAAGGAAATGCATCCGTTACGCTTTCAGATCAGCAATAATCTCGAAAACGAGATAATCCAATTGAATGATCAGCAATCATTTGAAACGCAAGCGAGACGCAGCACAAACTCATAAAACTGGGTAATGTATTTGTATCAATATGTTTATACTTTGTACGCAATTGATTTGATCGATCTCGTTCTATTGATACATCCGAAACATATAGCGATCAAATGCGATACTTCGTATAAATGTACAATCCAAAAAAATGATCAGTTTTGCCGCGCGATCGTATTGTTGATCAAATGTTTTTTGATGATTGGGTATGAAAGAGTATCGATATGTCGAGAGTGATTCATTTATAAGTTAGTGGTTGTTGTATGCGGTTGGGCTGGTTGGTTAGTAGTTGATGTGTATACGAACGGCGATTGTTCAGTTATGACTTTTGTGTATTGGTGTGCGGTTGGTTGATGGGTTGGGCTGGTTGATGGGTGATCGGGTGCTATGATCAGATTTGGTGATTGGGTGATGTATATGGTGGGTGATGGCAGTCAGTCGTAGGTGGATGGCAATCGACTGATATCCATACGCCATCCAAATTTCAAAATTTTCTCATTTTCACGTCAATTTAACCGTATGTATGTATGTATCTCCAGCAGCAGCACCAGCAACTCATTAGGACGCCCTAAATTCTGTCAGGTGTGTGTGTTTGCATTGTAAATTATTTTATCGAGTGTACATTTTTCCTTCTGTAATATTTTCTACCTGTAATTAATTGTTGCACACAAAACAGCGCGATCGATCTCTTACCTGTGCAGATTATCATTAATTTGTCTTTATACATTCATAATCTTGCTCATTATCAGTGATTTAGCGTGCGTGCATGCTTAAGTCTCAAGCAAACAACAAGTCAGCCAGTCCACATTGACATGAAATATAGATATTATAGATTGGAGACGAAACAGTACTGAAACGGCAGAAATTCAAGCAAATGCATTTGAATTTTAAGATGATCCGCCCGCACAAAATGGTAGTAAAATTTCGATTCGATTGAATGCTGAGAATCATAAGAAGCGTATGATGGCAAAAGAAGCGCATTGAAATGCTATAACTTTATAGTTATTTCAAATATGGATAAGAGCAGTAGCATTTAGCTTAAAGCAGAGCATAAAGATGTTCCAAGAGATGAGAATTAATAAATGTGCGGCGGCGGCGGCGGCGATTAAATTCCAGAAATAAATAAATATTCATAAAGTGATATAGATATATAATGTAGCTTAGAGCAAGCAGTACACATCCACACATACGACGACGATGTTTTATTTGATTGTCATTTGCACTTTGCCAGCGTTTGAATCCAGTTTGTGCATTCAAATTGCTATGATTTGTCTTAGCAGCTGATAAGGTGGTCGTCGTCATCTTCTGAGTGGCTTAGTTGACATTATTGATGCTAGATTGAATTGGTAGATCAGTCCTGGGTCGGGGTCGTATTTGCCTTCTTTCTAATAGCAGCGTTTGAATTGTTCATTCAATTCATTAGCATCTACCCATTTGTGTGCTGAAGCAATAGAATACTTTGTTGATTTGTTGATTTCTGAGCAGTTGCACTCTCGAAGCATTGACCTTTGACCTTTGACCTATTTGTTATGTGCTGCTATTGAATGTAGTTGTTTGTGAGTGCAGTAATGTAATATCAATTCAGAATATCAAAGTTACAATTATATCTGCGAGTAATTAATTGTAAAATGAGCATCGCATTGCTTAAACATCTACCGTATCTCCTTCTGCTTGATTTTGGTCAGTGCGTATTTACTGTCACCATTTCTTCAGTATTTTCATCATTAAACTTTTGTTATTATCATATTACCAATGTTATTATTATTAATATTATTATTATTATTATTATTATTATTATTACTATAATTTGTTATGTAGGAGTGTGGATTACATACGNAGCTGCCGTTACAGTGCCCATCTGCGCGGGTAAAGCATACTATGAGCAGCCAATAAAGGTGCAGAGAAATTACTTTTGTTGCCTTTACCATTTCTTGTAAAGTATTATAATGTGAGTATTAGTTATTCAGTATTATTATTCGGATAAAGCTGACTTATGTGTGGGGGTGCGTGAAGGGTGCGATGCAAACGTAGATGACGGTGATCTGTATGATGATTTGCAGTCGTGTATTAATGATAATATGCGAGGTGATTAGTGATTATTATTATTGCTATTATTAAGTTTATGATAATGATATAGTTGTATGATTGTACTTATGATTATTATACTTATGATATAATAATATACTTATGATTATGATAATAATATACTAGTAATATGATAACAGTATGATTATATTACGTCATTTCAGTAGGTCATATAAAAACAGTGTTTATGTATTGTGCGGGTGGGCAGGGTGTGCTACGTGACAGGCACACTGGCCGTGCCTTGATAACGAGCTCATGCAAACAGCCAGATATATTTTGTGCACCTGAAGCGCTATGCTATAACGCCACCACGTATGCGTATTGCTGCAGAGATGGCCTTCCAGATCGTATGTTTTCTAATATATTACTGTTTATAATAAGGCAGTAAGGTAAAGCTGCTCTTAATACTACGGCTATAGCTCACGTTAGGTGGGTAACCGCGTTCAGGGCGAATTTAGTTGCTGTGTCATTAGACTGAATAACCATTTTCAGTTTAGCATGTATTTTATACAGTTTTGACAGAAATGTTTGAAAGAGAATCTATTTTAAGCTGATAAAGAAGTAGACGTTGGTTTTAGTATAGGAAAGTAAAATATAGTGGAGTAGAAAATAATCGAGAACGTAGGACTTGACTCGGTTGGACGTATTGTTATTAGTGTTAATTGTTAAGACAGTTAATTAATTAATTAGATTGATAGCTTATTGTTAGAATGAAACGTTGATTATTCTTTCAGATCAATTGTCTGAAAAGTATTCAGTAGAGTGTAAGTTGAAGTGATTTCTTAGTTGTCTTTATAGATGTGTTCTTCATTGTTATTATTAATATTACTATTATTGTTATTATTATTGTAATTATTATTATTATTATTATTATTATTATCACAAGTATGCCTTGATTGCTGATAAGAATGTGGTGTGGTTTTTAAAGATTCATTGGTTGAGCGAGTGAGTCCGTGCTTGAAGCAGCCAATTAAGGTGAGCTGCTGCATGCGATTCTCAACAAACATGGCTTATTTATGTTAATTTATGGGCACTTTTTTAGGAGAGGAGTGGTTTTTATTTGATTATCTGCTTGGGGGATATTTAACAGCTGAGTGAATATTTAATAAAAGTTTTAAGTTTCAATTTAAAGTAAAAAAGTTTTTAAAGTTCTTCTTCGACGATGAATCGCAGCTTTGTATTGCGTATCGAGATGGATGCGAGAAGCACGATGTGAGCTACGAGACTTTGGATGATTGTATGCGAATGAGTCGTCTCGGTATTATTGATTTCGATATTTTTGAGTAGTTGGGATGGCATATGAAAGTGACGTGATAGAAACTAGTATCCTATTGGTTGTTAGTGTTGTTCTAGGTGAGATTCTGGCTCATCGTATCATGCATCGTTCGTATTTTTGCCCTGATGGCTATACACCGGCAACGATACGCTATGGAGCTGGTGGTCAGTTCGAGTATCCACTGCAAGCCGTAACGAAGTGTGAGGCAAAGCAATTCTGTGACTCAGATCAGTTGTGTATGCAACGGGCACAGCTGGGCTATTGCTGCGTGAGAGGGCAGCCAGGTGAGAGGCAAGGCAGGCAGCCAGCTTGAGCTTGAGCTTGTGCTCAAGATTCATCGCTTGATGAGTTAATTGACATTTAATGAGTTAATTTTTAAGATGTGACAATTAACACTCACTGTTTTGCTATATTTAAGGTTTCCGGCGATTCGATATCAAAAAACTGGAGTAATTAATTAAGTTGATTGGATGCAACAGGAAAATGCTGATTTACAAACGGATATTATTCTATTTCAATTCATATACGGATAATAATAGTAATAATAATTGCTTATTATAAAGGCTCCTTCAAGTATAATATAAGTGGAATTGAACATAATCGAATCTGATATGATATTATATGGAGAATATATCAGTGAATGATAACGGTATCGATACGATTATTAATTGATTGATCACCGAGCGATCAATATTGATTTGCTCTGAAATATTTTTCGTTTCAATCATCTTCTCACAATACCTATTATCGTTATTTATTATCTTTTCAAGTGATAACAGATAAAGTATTTATTTGGTGATGGTTGTTTTGAAGTGTTATTTATGCTTGATGTTTTCATATGGCAGGCGATATGGCAATATATTAGCCGTGTGATCGAATAAGAATAATTAATTTTAATAGTATTAATAATCGTTTAAATAACGCTTTAAAGATTTCTTCGTTTGCTTCTGCTTCTGAAGAGTAAATCTATCGCTCGCGACTAGAATCTGTCACCTGTGGGCTTGAATTGCTTCTAAGCTATGATAATGGAGTTGCTTCCGCTTCGTACATCCTTCCGATTCGAACTGGTAAGTTGTTATGTTCTATGAGCGTGCTCTATATATCTAAGATGTATTACTACTTACTACTTACTACTTATAGTTATGCATTAATCATATTCGTATATTTATGATGTGATGCGTATAATGTGTATGAATTAGCAGTCTTGAAGAGTAGCAGTAGTTGATTAAGTCACTTATTTAATATGGACGTTATGATTTCGAGGTGAAAAGGTTTTTAGTGATCAGTTTCTATGTTGCTTTTGATCAAGTGAGTGGTGTGCTCTGTGGCTGTGTTTAGTGTGTTGTTTTGAAGTGTTGAAGTTATTTGTATGCTCGAAATAGTTAGTTTTGTGTTGAAAGTTCGGAATAATAACAATAATAATGTTAACGATCATGATATGGATGGATATTATCATTGGATATTAATTAGAAGTTTAGTTTAACGTGATTAGATTTATCGGGATTATGGCAGTTGCAGAGAGACTTATCGTCATGTATCGTTCACTAGTCAGAAGCAGTGCAGCCGCTAACGACTCGAGCAAATCGTATCGCTCTAAACGTCACCATCAAAGTAATCAACAACACAGTAGCAGCAGCAGTGGTCTAATAAACGCAACTGCTGATGATATCTCAACTTCTGAGAGTAATTATAATTGTAATAGTAATGCCAATAGTAACAGTAATAGTACTAATGCTCAAGAGTATATTGGTTATAAAAAGCAGTACAGTTATGTAAATAGTCGTCGTCATGGTCGGTTCAATGGACTGCAGCCGTCTGAAGAAGTGCCTAAAGGAGAGGATAAAGTAGACGTGCTGCATGCGAGTGAGATTCACCAGCAGCCGGAGCAACAGCAGCCAAGACAGTCGGCAAGTAATCTTGGCTCATCATCAGTAATTTCGTCGATCAACTATTTCTCAGAGCTATTTCAGGCCAAAAATTACAGGTCTAAACAGAAGCAGAAGTTAGTAAACGCTACAGATAGCAACCATAACCACAGAACTGGTACTGATTCGGATATGAGGGATAAGCGAAACGAGTATTTGGCTGAATGCGACGATAGCTTAGAATTTGATGAAGGGGATGTTGACGGTGATGATTCGTCAGCAGTCACTTCAGAGTGTGCTTCGGCAACAGTTGTGGCACGCCAAAACAATAGAACGTTGACCATGAGCAATACAGAAAAACACGCTCCTACTCTAGCTCCTCGTCAAGCTCCTACTCTAGCTCCTCGTCAAGCTCCTACTCTAGCTCCTCTCCAAGCTGCTGCTGCTGCTGCTGTCCCAGTTTCGGTCTCATCGACACGTTCTCCTCAGAAAGGCGCCGCCATAACGACCTCATCAGTGAATCAAACCAGATCAGACAATGTGGCCGTGGCTGCAACACCAGCACAGAGCAGCAGTAACAGTGGTATGCTACGCGGTTCATACGCTAGATCAGTAAATGTAACGGAATCGTTCTCGTCAAGTCTTGAATCACTAGAGGATAATGCAGTTGGTGAGTGATTTTAAAAGCTGAATTTACTTATTGTTTGAATCAACCACTTCATTGTTCGTATTGTTTGCAAGTAGCTGATCGATTTACTGATCGATTCACTCGACTCTTATGAATTTTAGTTGCTAAAGTTCTCGGGCAAACCAATCGTCTCACCCCAGAACGACGTCATATAGTGCAGGTGACCTTTAAAGAAATCGAAAAAGATTCAGTGCGCAATGGAGTGCAAATTCTCGTCAGGTGAATGGATGATAATCAATTGATGTTGATGTTGATGTTGTTTAATGTCCATGTATTTTTTCTTTATAATCTGTAAATCAATTGAGTAAATTATTGGTGTGTGAAAAGCAGCTGATCAGGTGTAGTGATCAATTGAATCAATTGCAGTATGTTCTCAGAACATCCCCAATACAAGTTGATCTGGCCACAGTTTCGTAGCGTTCCAGATAGTTCTCTTATGTCAGCACCAGAACTAATAAAACACGCTCGTGTTTATATGGGTGTAAGTTGTTTCATGTGCTTAAATGATTACAATACTAGTAGTAATAATAGTAAGCTGAATATCAGTGAGAGTCGGATTTTTAGGGATTACGTAGGATAATGGATTCAGTGGATGATAACGATAAGTTGGCCGTTGTTTTGAGACTAATTGCCAAAGCACACATCAAATGGAACATCCATAAATATCATCTAATGGTGAGTGAATTGTTTTGAATTGCTAATTATAATGAGAAAGCAATAATAATAATAATAATAATAATAATAATAATAATAATAATAATGCTGCAGCATATGGCGATCCCAATCATAGATCTGGCTCAACGTAAAGGTGGAAGTGAGTTCAAGTCAGAGGATGTACACGATGCATGGACAACGCTTTGCGATGTGATCGCCAACCTAATCGATATATATCGTTGTCTCGAACGACGTCGTGCTCATTAATTGCCTATTTTTTATGGTTATATAACATAATCGTTATCGATCACCTCCATCTGATTGTAAATATCGTGTGCGTTAAGTATTTATTCGTTCGCCTCCTACGGATTAGTCTCACCAAGGAAAGCGGTGTTATCGTGGACGAAGCAAGCATTATGATGTGATGTAGTGTGTGTGCATTTTTCGGCGACAATTTCGGCGACAGCATCGACACTTTCGGCGATTTCGGCGACCAACCCAGAATGCATGCCGCCCGCCACACATTTCACAGTAAATAAGAAATTTTATACGAGTAATTTCAATGAAAAACTGAATCGAACATGGAAAGCAATAGGTACACCGGTCTCTAAAAATTCAGTTTAAGTATGATGAATCTCAGTAATACTAGCCGTATAATGATGACAATAATAATAATAATAATCTATAATGTAATATACTAATTAATACTATTATTATAGTAATTGTAGTGGTGAATAATAAATACGCAGAGAATGAGCAACAATTGTGATAAGAATGTGGTAATTAAGTAAGTGAATGATAAGAGTAACAATTATTCAGGAGGAATGCGGTGCCTGCCATATATTGTCTATTGAAAGCACATCACATCTGATGAAGTGACCATTTAATAGTGATTTGATAGGTTGTATTGAGTATTAAGTATTTAGACGACGACGTTCGACGACGTGAGCTGCTTGAGTTTGTTTAGAATGAGAAATAGGTTGGAGGAAAGCATATAGGAATTGGAATGTGCATAGGTTTAGATTTAGATTCGGATTTAAGGTGATCAAACGAGCAAATAGGACGACTGTGAACGATGGGTGGTAGGTGAGCGAATGGATAAGAATTAGGATGATAATGATATGATAATGATATGAATAATAACAACGTGCTACTCTAGAACGAACTATAGCAGCATTTTAAACGATCGTTTCCGAGTAGTGCAGATTACGTTGGAACTCAGTTATTATCAGATACACTCGCCTTATCCAATACATCCTTAAAATAGAATGGAACAAACTGGTAGCCCAAACCCATGTAGAATTTCGACTGGAATTCAACCCTGAAACAATTAATAAGCAATTGAGAAATGCATAGGAACATGAGTTGAGTGGAACTGGAAGGCAGTAAGTAAGTAACTGTGATGGGTTGGGTGGTAAGGTGACCGAACTGATCGATCAACGATGGATGGCTAACTGATTGATCTGATCAATCAATGTGATTGAATTACTAAACGAAAATTGCTTGAAGGTGAGAAGTGAAGTGAAATGAATTAATGAGCTTGATGGATTGATAGGTTGGCAGATTGTATAAACGGATTGAAAGTGTCGAGTTGGAGAAGCGCGCGCCATCCACTTACCAATGAAGACGTAACGCATGCAGAAATGCCGATAGACCTTCCATGAGCACCAGAATGGATACGGTTAAAACACCGAACGCAAAGAATATACAATAGGCAGCCACATAGCCAGCAATACCGGACAGTGCAAACGCTTGCACTAACACCATGTGCCATAGCACTTCGGAGAGTTCTGTAAGGCATAGATAGGTTCGTGTTTGTGACTGTTAATTAAAATTAATTAGTAGTTAATTAGTAATCTTTGACTTTTCGAAAAATTCGCTTCATTTCGTTTAAATAAGGGAGAGAATAATACGTACGTGCATGTGCCAGTGATAATGCCCAAAGTCGTAGGTATGAAGCCGTATGTGAGACACAACCGAGCACATATTCAATGGTGTGAATGGCTTGATGTACCATGATATCGCCGAATGCCTGAATTTGAGTTTATTTGCTTGGTTGGTTGGTTGAGTTGTTGTGTTGAGTTGAGATGTGAAACACTCTACTAGATAAGATATAGTCGGTTTACGGTTGCTATGCATCCAATTTAAAACTGCTATCAGCAAGCATGATCACTATTAAACATTGATGTGTTATAAGTGAAATTGCACGCACGCACCTCTTCTTCATGATGTCCTCCTCCGCCTCCACCAGCTGCCGATGCTACGGCAGCAGTAGCACCATCTAGATCAGCCCCTCGTCGTTCCTTCTCAATATGACCGTTGCCATGATTTCCACCATCAGTAGCTGCAGCAGCAGCGGCACCCTGTTGTTGCCCTCCATTCGACGTTATTTCGGTCTCCTCGCTGAGCATATTCGCACGAACCATCTCAATACGAATCGACTACTTTGGATTTGGATTCGACTAGTTTCACGCTTTGCTCTCTCTCGTATTTTAGAGTGAAGAAATATTTTTGCATTTAGTTATCTTATCGTATTTACTATCCGATCACATACATTATCACGGCAGCTCGTAATGCAACAGTAATATCTTAGAGAGTACTGAACTTAATGAGCACTTAATTAGTAGTCATTCAAGTAGAGCAAGCAACCAACCATTTTATCGCCGATTTCTTTCTTGGCCTTCTTCTGCTGTTGCCATAGGTATAATGGCTTACCGAATAGCATTATGGGTATGCAAATGACGGCGATGATCACAAGTATGGCCTCGACCATTGACTGCAAACTCGATTGATTGGTAACAGTAACAGTATAACAGTAACTTGGTGATAACAGTAACTTGGTGATAAGAGTAACTTTGATTACTACTCTTAAGGAACTGACTCACTCACCTGTGCTGGATACCACTGCCCAAGATAGCAGTGTGGTAATTCTGCGTATATGACTTGATCACCTTGTTTGCCGATTACTTGTGACATGTTAACAAAACCTTCTGGTCGGTCTTTAAACATGAACATATTGATGAGACCAATCTGATAACGTTATTATTATTATTATTATTAATATTATTGATATTATTATTGATATTATTATTATTGATATTATTATTATTATTATTGATATTATTATTATTGATATTATTATTATTATTATTGTTATCATGTTCGATAGGAAGCATTTGAAGCCTTCAGATAGAGACTAGAGCAAACCAATAAGGACGGTGCGCAGTGTGAGCCGGGATATAGACGTCCAAAGATATACGTTTCATCCACCCAAAAGAAGAGCCACTTGACGATAATTTCAACGCATAAGTAGATGAAGATACAGCTCATGAACAGAAGTTGCGGTAAGAAAACGGTGAGTATTTCGATTGTGGACTTGAAGTATCTGTAAGTAATAACGAGTACTACTTACTCGACGCATTGACTAGTCGACGAATGCCGATAGAAAGGAGAGTAATTAACTCACAAGTAATTCATAAGCGATAGAAAGACACCAAATGTCATTTGCGATATACCGATTATAACGGACAATTTCATCTTCATTGAATTCAAGAAATTCAGCTTATTCTCAGCCAGATTCCACACCGGATCCAGTCCGTACGGATACGGTCCGTCGTGGATATAGGATGGATTCGGTGGTAGCTCAATGAGCACCTCTTTCCTAGTTAATACCGTCTGATTGTACCACGACTCGATTTCTGCAGCACTGAAATAGATTCATTTTTGATAACTCAAATTTTTGGATTGAATAATCGTTAATTACATTATTATAGGAATAATATCGATATGGACTGCTCATATAATATTGTTATTATTGTATTGTCATTAGTGGATATTGGATGCAATGAAATTATATCGATATGAAGGAATTGTATTGATTATTGATGTGGATAATAATACGGACTGAGAGTATTATAATGGAATAGTGATGGAGTATTGGGTTGGATATCACTGATGATGTGATTATTCTTATTAATGGTAAAGAGTGATTACAGTATGAAATGATTATAGCAGTAATTAAAAAACAATAATAGTAATAGTAATACGGATATGGATTGCGCCACTGTGAGCCGAAAATATTGAAGGATTTAGCGAAGATATCGTTATAGAGTAAGCCGGCGTGTATGGAGAAGAGACCCATCAAGAGTATGATATATCGACCACCGAAGAACATATTGAATATCTGAATTGAATTAAGGTAAATTAATTATTAAGGTAAATTAATTAGTTAATAAAGGTGATGCAAACAAACCTCATCCTTAATATTACGATCGATAAGCGCCTTCTCACGAAGCACTAAATAAAGACCAGCCAAGAACATGATGATGCCGTGACCAAAATCCCCGAACATGCATGCGAATATGAATGGAAACGTGATGATTGTATAGGGTGCTGAAAGGTTTTAAGAAAGGTCAAAGGTCAAATAATAGATAGAAGAAGCCAAAAAATAATAGCCTGCATCAGGCTGATGATGTTGACACAGCAGTAGCAGCAGCAGCACTCGGTTTCGAGCAAAATTTAGGGCTGCGAACGGCACGGAAGAAAGGTTTTGGTGGAGATTGCAGTAGGTATTATTTAAGAGAATAGGGATGGATGGCACTGACCAGGATTAACTTCCAAATATGAGGCAACTCCATACGAATCAACAATGCTCTGGAAAACGGCAGTGAATTTATTGGTTTTATTGTAGGTGGGTGGTTCTTCGGCTGTTTCCAGCAGATTCAAGACGGGTTTTACGGAGATACCGTTAGCTTCCTGCAAGCAATATCTATCTATCAATTACGAATGCAATGGAATTATTGGGGCGAGGAAAATGCATTGTAAAATATCAGCGGATAAATGTTCATGGATATTTTAAAAAATGATTCGACACTTTATCGTTTTGGAGTAAACGGCTTAAGAAGTTGTATATGATGGCGGTAATTTGATGATCGCTTGATCATTAAAATCTTATGTTAGCTATTATTTATGATTACGGTTGTTGCCATTCACTGCTAACTTGCGATTGAATTTTGTATAATTTTGATCAATTCAATCAGGTACTCGTCAAATATATTGATGATCCAGGTGATAATTTGATCAAGACGGATCAATCAATCAATAGATCAATCATTCCTAGTGCACTTACTGTTAACTGCGATATGAACGAAACGAGAATGTGGTATTGATTGGATTTGCAGATGAAATGAATAAGGTGATTAATAATAATAATATGACTTGGCTAATCTACTAAAACAATGCTTACCACTCCTCTTTCAAGCGCCTCTCGTACGTGTTGCATATCGCCTAATGGTACCCAACATTCGGCCACAAAAAATTTCCCAATGCTATCGAATGTGAACAAATTCAGAGTATGGTAGACGGACTTTTGCATACGTACCTTGAATTGATTACGGTAATGATTACGGTAATTCATTTTGCATTCATTAATTGAGCTTTAATCTGCTGCATTGAATTACTCTTTGCAGAAGAATTGCCTGATCTATCTATTAATGTGTGTGTCGTACCTGCTTTTGCCATTCCCGGAGATTATTTGAGGCTGCTTGTAATACTTTATAACGATGCTCTTGAGTTTGTCCCATAACGGTGCTTAGATCCGAAATACGGGCACGTACCTCTCGTGCTGCTGCGTGACGATCCTTCAAAATGCTTTACTTTACAGTCAAGCCTTATTTATTTGACGTGAATTCATTATGAGCACGTACATATAATACAATCCAATAGCATAACGATGGCTCTCTTATAAAGTAATAATAATGAAGTAATAATAAAGCAGTAAGTCTTATAAAGTAAAGTAAAGTAATAAGTAATGAAGTAGTAGTCTTATTTGCTGCTTCACTAACCTTACTGTTCTTCGGGCATGTATTATAGAGTTTCGCTTTGAAACCTTCACAGACTTTTTCGATAATTGTACGCAAACGATCACCTTTATAAAAGATCACAAAAACAGACTTACTCTGCTTTTCACCCTGAAAATTTTATACACTCAGAATTGAATTCAGTATAGAGTAAAAGTAATATGATAAAAGTAATATTACTGTAATTACTACTTACTGTATCTGGGTCCATGAGCTCATTTTCGATTTCGGCCGTTCGAACGAATGCCGTACGACGGCATGCTCGCCACAGAATACGCTCGAATGCATTCACACGTTCACGTCGAATCACACCTGTTGAGAAGCTAAAACTAATATTAATTAATTAATTAATTTATTTCATTTGATATTGATAGGTTTATGCAAATGATTATTTTTATTGGTGAATATTGAGAGGATAGTACCAACCCCATTGGTTCCTTTTCAGTTCGGAGTGGAAAGCCGATAGTTTCGCCTTCAACCAATTCGATCTCTTGCATAGCCACATCACTTATACCCTTTAAATGCATGATCAGAGCACAGTTACTTGTGAGATATCAGGCAACTAGTAACTGTATAGTGTTATATAGGATCTAATTGATCTAGTAATTGTATAGTATTGTTTTTGTGAATGATTATATTGTTAAGACATCATCGCATAAGTAAGCCAGGAGGCAGTGTCGAGAATATTGTTCTGTTGAATGCAGCGAGCTTAAGGTTAAGATAAGGGCACGATTTTGAGGGGTCATTTTGAGGGTATAGGTTCGGATTTATGTTATCCGGAAAGAATAGAAGTTTGATCTATTGGTTAGAATTGCAGCGTTATATCACTGAGACTACTAGAAGGATGAGGATTACCCCTTGAAAGAATTGATCAGTCTTCTCGAGTATTGCTTCCCATTCTTTGAGCTCGAGAAAGTTTCTCTTGAGCAGTAAATCACTTTCATTCATATTGATCACGTCTCGTTCTAGATCAACAAGTGTTGCCTAAATTTTGGTATTGAGTGCGTAAATTATTATTAAAACAATTCATTTATTAAAGAAGAATAAATTTGGATAATAGTTTTATGAAGATTAAACGTAGTGATGATTTAAGGCAGAGTTAACGTAAGCCTAAGCCTACTTCAAGTTGATTGAGTTCATGTGGTGGCAGCACTTCGTAGGCTGCATTGTTCGATGGATCAGCAATTTCGATATCGTCCTTTTTCACTTGTGTGTCGATAAACCCTGATGAACATTCATTGCTTCAAAATTTTACAGCTTCTATAGATAATCGGTAAAATTAAATTTCCACTTAAGTGAGTGAATGGCTTGTGAATGCATAGACAGGCATTGATAGGCTTGAAGATGGGTTAATATTTGGCTATTAAGGAGAAAATAGGAGTAAGTAAGTAAGTAAGTAAGTAAGTACTCACTTAGTTTGCGTTCGAGTTCATCGAATCTTCTAATGTCACGTACGAACATCCGATGGTATGGATTCACATCGGCATTTAACTGAATACGAAGCGTTAGTTATATGCATAAGATTATGCGTTCGTTCGATTACCGTATACTAAACTCAATAAGCCAATTAGAAGGCGCCTTGTTATGCATAATGTGTGCTATCTATACTGAGCTGTTGGACAGCCGACAGCCGACAGTGTACTGTAGCGCGGCGTATCTATTGACCACACAGGTAATATTGCATTGCTAGTTGGTTGCTTGGTGTTATTACTAGTATTACTCTTACTGTTATTATTATTTAAAGTAGTATTTAATAATTAGTATTAGTTAGAATTAATA